GGGGGTGAATGTGAATGCTACAGCAAAGCCAGAGCTGTTGTCTTACAGTTGGGGACATTTCCTTTCACTTCCTGTTCCCCAGCCACAACAGGAAGTGAGAGTAAATCTCTCAAAGCCCCTTATGGACAATCATCTCCCTAAAAGTTAGCTCAGTTTGGAAAATATCACCTCAATTCCTGCTCGAATGGCAACTGTAAAATGTTGGCATTTACGTTGCTGTCTGTCCAAGTGGTAACGGCCAACAGGAAGGATGAATTTCCCCAGTGTGGGCACACAAAGCAATGCAAACTGGGCAGGGGTTATAACCCTTCTCTGATTTATTTTAAAGAAAAACAAGCATGATACAGTACTGTATCATCTTCACTTGTTCTATGTTTAATTTGCCTCAACAACCTAATGGGGCACCCAGGCCCCATAGCAGCCACCTGGGCTGCTATGACTATAGTTACGCCTGATGACCACATTGAAGAACAAGGCCCTGGTGGTGAATAAGCTGCAAATGATTTCCGATTGAATTGATTTATGAATATGTTCTTTTGTGTCAGTGCAAATGAATGTGTTTACTGACATAGTCCGGATCACATGGTCAATACAGTTTACTTGAACTCTGCTGGTAGAACTAATTATACCTCTGTACTACATCATATGAGAGTTTCTGCCAGGTTACTATCTGCAGAAACTGGAGCTCAGAGTAATGATATTCCACTAGAAGTAGACCTGAAACCTGCCGGACCGGTCGGTGACGGCGAGCTGCTCACCGCAGTCAGCTGACTTCAGAGGCTTTTCTATAGAGTCATATAATCTCCATGTGTTTGTACAGCCAAAGCCTAGCTGCAAGTCCTCTATACATGGAAATAGCTTTGTCTGCATGGCCAGTGAAGCAGAACATAGAAATGCTTCTTCTTTAGCGTGTAACTCCACTTCAATGTAGCTGATGTCTGGTTTGACCATCCTGCACTATGCAATAGAAATGGAGATACGTCTGTGCTCAAATCCAGAAAATTTGTACCAGGTTAGCACTGTGCTAAAAATGACCAATGACCCCTAATACGGTTACCACCTATTGCATTAAAGATATACAGACAATCCAATGAGCTTTTAGTACAAAACATCAAATGAAATAGTCTAAATACAATAATATAATATATGAGTCATGTAAATAATGAAATCAGTAAAACTAATAAATCTTATCCATTTCCACAGAATTATTTTTTTTAAAAATCCTGTCCTTGTATGAAAAATATATTTAAATTCATTACAATATGTGAATTAAATAAAGTCCCGCTGTGCCACCTCTAGGGATGGGCTCAGGTTCAGGCTGAACCTGGTCCAGACCTTAGTTCCTCTGAACCCGGAACGAAGCTCCTTCTGTGCTGCAAAATCAGATATCTTGACGTCTGCAGAAGGGCGGGATGCAGCGACATCACTGACCTTATATGGCTACATGCCTATATTTGGTAAATTACATTTGCCTAATATTTCTATATGGCCAAAAAAGGCAGGGGTGAGCAACTACGGACCTCCTGCTGTTGTGGAACTACAAGTCCCTGAGACATTGCAAGACTCTGACAGCCATGGGTATGACTCCCAGAGCCAGATGCATGATGGGATTTGTAGGTAAAGCATAGCTGGAGGGTCAGAGTTCCCCACCCCTGATATAAGGTAACTGATGTCAGCACAAGCATCCTGCCCATTAGTTGACATGCAGCACAAAACACAAGGCTCCTGGTGTATTTTTTTGTTTAAAACATCTTTCATTTTTTTGTTTCTATCTGTGCAGTTATTAATTTGTTTTCATCTCATGTGTTCTCTCCCTGCCAGAGCAGAAATGCTTGCCCAATACTAGCCTTGAAGGCCCCCCATAGAGGCTGTACTGTCTGCTGCCTGATCTCAGGGCTGCTGGAAGAGAATAAAGCCTTTCGTTTTCTTCCCCGGCATCCTTAAATCTTTATTAAAGTGTGTTATTCAGCATCTTTTTGAGTGTCTGTTATCAGCTCTAAACTACGGCAGGAGATAGGACTGCTTCACAGCATAACAATTCTGCCGTGACAGGGAGAAAATACAAGTAAATATTAATAAAAAAACACTCCATGAGAAGCAATGCTGCATGTGTTCCAGAGTGAAGTGTTAGTGTTATTGCAAACGCCCATTGTTGGCTGGCCCTCTTAAACTGTAATCCCTGTCCTAAACCATAGCTCAATATAGGTATAGTACATTGTCTGTGTGTAGAAAACTAAAAACATCTATATAGCGCCATCAATTTACACAGTGCTTTACATACCATTTATTCACATCCGTTCCTGCCCTCAAGGAGCTTACAATCTAAGGTCCCCACCTCACAATCCTACAATAGGGCTGATTCAGACCAGAGCTAATTAACCTACCAGCATCTATCAGGCACATGGGAGGAAACCCACACAAGCACAGGGAGAACATGCAAACTCCATGCAGATAGTGTCCTAACTGGGGTTCAGACCAGGGACTCCCAGTGCCAAGCAGAAGTGTTAACCACTCAGTAGACTTGTGCGATTTGTTTAGTTCCGAATCAAAATTCGTACAAATTCCGAAATTCGGACACATCCAAATTCATTCAAAAACTAAACTGAATCGGACTTTTCTGGCCAATCAGATGTGTTTTTCGGTTTAATGCATCCGAATGGGTCTGAATACAAATTTTCGCTATGGCAACCTGGGAGCCATATACATTACTAAAGCTGAGGCTCCTAGACCCGAATGGCATTCAGGTCTCCGAATTGCATTGGGGAGCTCCTGAATGCCATTCGGGTCTGGGAGCCTCAGCTTTAGTAATCTATGTATATGGCTCCGAGACCCGAATGGCATTCAGGAGCTCCCCAATGCAATTCGGAAATTCGGATCCAGTATGTCATTTGGGTCTAGGAGATTCAGTTTAGTATTAATATCTGTATATGTATATGGTTTTCTGGGGTATTCGCAACGAATATTCGTAAACTCATCCGAGACTAACGGAAATTCTGATTTTGTCTGAATGCGAAACCTGAACCGAATAGAATTTCGGATCCGAATCCCGAAATAACAAAATAACAGAATTATTCTGCAGCTTACATGTCTACCACTAAGCCACCATAACTATGAACATTTAAAGATACATTTTCAGGGATAAGGTTTCCAGACCTGGACATCGGGAACAGCTGGCAACTGTGATAATACTAGCACTCGAGCGGAAATAAAACCCAGTAACTGAAAAGGCCCGCTCCGTGTGCAGACATAAATCTCCAATTACTTATTGACAATCAACCTCCCAGGGAATAGTGGCTTGCTGCTTGCTGACCACTGATCCAGGTTAACCCCCTATGTAATGTATCAAGCTGATGGTCCTACCTGAGCTGACTCCAGGCAGGTCCTGTCGGCGTAGGGAAGAGTTAGGAGTGAGATGCGGGGATGGAGTACCTAGCCAGACAGGATATGCGAGTGATGTGGTATGTGTGGTAACAAATAGTCACGTGTTCTGTGTGCTGACATCATTATTGGGTGTGGACCATGTGACATGTGTGATCAGACTGATACCTTACCTGGGTGTGGGTGTACGCTCACCTGTCACACACACACAAGTAATGTTGCTGGGAAATATAACACGCACTGCCTAAACATGCTGGAAAAAGTACAGAACATTCCAATGGTAAAAAGTTTTCTAATCACACCTCTCATTTATTACATTTCTCAAAAAAAGAGCTGCCTGTGTTGACCTTGACAACCATGTAGACCAGGGTTGGGCAAGCTCCGGCCCTCCCGCTGTGGTGAAACTACAAATCCTGGCAAGGTACCTAAATAAACCTAAACCTTTTCACAAAGTTGTTTATCCATACAACTTCAATGAGAACTCCTCTCCAGCCTGTGAGTGCACCATGGCCTTAGATTAACAGTTGCTTATCTTCACAATCAGAAGCAAACAAATGAGCTTCTTTTCCCTGCTTAATGCAGATTTCAATGAAATGAAAAATCAATCTGGAAATGTAAGACCTAATAATGGGCTAGACAAGTCAGTGGATCTGGAAACTGTGGTGTTGCAATCTTACATTTGAAGCCCCAGAGGTAGAGAAAGCTTATGGGCAATTCTACTCTCCTGTATCCACCTTAAACTCAAATATACATTTTACCAGACTGACCCTTTAAAAATGTCTGACTAGTTTGGTTTGAGTATTGCATTGAAAGTCATATAAAACTTGATCTGGCTGCTTTTTCTAAGAACACAGTGGAGTTGTAGAAAGATAATTGTGCAATATACACATGTCAGTGGTCATTCTTATCATCCTTGATCTATCACACTTAGCAGGGCAACTCTTCTGTCCTTAAAGCCCAACAATGTCATAGAACTAGACTAACTACTGTACTAATAATTTACATTTTGATAGTATTGCCTTCACTTTTATTTTATGGCAGTTGTGCAATGTGTCTAAATATAACTGCTCAGTTCAATTGGCACCAGACTTTGACTGCACTGTCCATAACAACCCATAATATAACAGACTTGATCACACACAGCTCCTCTCTTCCACTACAAGTCTGTATGGGGACACTGGTGCTGACGGCTGTGACCATGTTAATATATGCTACCATAGAGCACTGGTGTGGGAGAGCAGGTAGAATATTTTCAAAAGGTATTTTAGGGCTAAAATCCGTTAAAAATCCTAGCTTATGTTGGTACAGGGGTATCAAAGGAAATAAAAGCTGAATGACTTTAGTTGAGCTTTAATTTTAAAGTATTGTATATAAGCAAGTTAGCTAAAAAAAAAATCACATTATGACATAGAATCTTTCTTTTCCGAGTGTTAAATAATGCAGCATTATTATAAAAAATGCTTTTTGGGACAGCGTCCTGCAATTCATGATTAGCAGCTATGGGATGCAAACTGATCACGCCGTCAGCACATCTCCATCTGTGCTTAGCATGGTCAGAATGAGTCAGGAAGAGAGGGGGACTGGCAGGATCACCAGTTATTTGTTGCTGAAATGGAATGTTGCTAAAATAGGACAGCACATGCACAATATGTAAGATTTATTATTGATACACAAATGCAATAAAGGGATTTGAGAAGGAAGGTTCACATACACTTGAATTTACAAAGATCATAAAGGCATTTCAATCCCTGAGCTCGTTGTTTCATCATCATTATTGAGGTTTTTTTCTTGAACTGTTCGTCAAGTCAGGTAGGTTCCCCACGTCTTGGCTTTCAAGCAACATTTCCTCTTTAAAGCCAAATCCTCCTACAAACAGCAAACATTGTTAATACGAGTCATAAAAACAAAAGCTTATTCTAAAGGATGAAGTGATAAAAAAAAAAACAATTGCAGTAGGCAATCCCCAGTCATTCTGTCTTCACTAAACTGATGACAACTGAAATCTTACATCACTGTTCTTGTACTATGCATTTTATTTAAAGTAAGTTAAAGCCTAAGTCCAATATGCTGTGTATATACACTATATTGCCAAAAGTATTGGGACACCCCTCCAAATCATTGGATTCAGGTATTCCGTGAAATTTCCTTGCTACTAAATAACTGTTTTAGCAACTCAGCCACGGAGTTGTAGGCCACGTAAAATGACAGAGCGGGGTCAGCGCATGCTGAAGTGCACAGTGCGCAAAAGTCGCCAACTGTCTGCAGAGTCATTAGCTACAGACCTCCAAACTTTGTGTGGCCTTCAGATTGGCACAACAACAGTGCGTAGAAAGCTTCATAGCTTCCGAGCAGCTGCATCCAAGCCTTAAATCACCAAGTGCAATGTAAAGCGTGGTATGCCGTGGTGTAAAGAACGCTGCCACTGGACTCTAGAGAAGTGGAGACGTGTTCTCTGGAGTGACCAATCACTCTTCTCTGTCTGGCAATCCGATGGACGTGTCTGGGTTTGGTTGTTGCCAGGAGAACGGTACTTGCCTGACTGCATTGTGCCAAGTGTAAAGTATGGTGGAGGGGGGATTATGGGGTGGGGTTGTTTTTCTGGGGTTGGGCTTGGCCCCCTGGTTCCAGTGAAGGGAACTCTTAAGGCATCAGCATACCAAGACATTTTGGACAATTTCATGCTCCAGGATGGCCCCTTCCTGTTCCAACATGACTACGCACCAGTGCCCAAAGCAAGCTCCACAAAGACATGGATGAGCGAGTTTGGGGTGGAGGAACTTGACTGGCCTGCACAGAGTCCTGACCTCAACCCCATAGAACACCTTTGGGATGAATTAGAGCGGAGACTGCGAGCCCGGCCTTCTCGTCCAACATCAGTACCTGACCTCACAAATGCGCTTCTGGAAGAATGGTCAAACATTCCCATAGACACACTCCTAAACCTTGTAGACAGCCTTCCTTGAAGAGTTGAAGCTATTATCGCTGTAAAGGGTAGGTCAACTCAATATTTAACCCTACGGACTAAGATAGGGATGCCATTAAGTTAATGTGCATGTAGAGGCCGGCGTCTCAATACTTTTGGTAATATAGTGTATATGTGCAAAACAAGGGTTAAAAAAAAACTGCAAATACAAACCTCTCCGCCAAGGTCCTTTGCAGACTTAATGCTGCAGTCTGCTTCCTGTGATCCCAGAATGTCAAGGACACACCCTCTGAGGATGCATCATTAGACTGTCCTTGACTTAGAGAGTGGCACCATGTTATTGCTGGTACAGTGTTACCAAACGTTGCTAGAACGTGTGGTAAAAATGACATTTTGCTCCGTGTTACTGCAATGCAAAGGAGTTTAGCCATAAGGGCTTATAAACACGACAATGCACTTTACTGATAATGCATTGTAGATGTGCATTGCCTTTCAAAGTTAACTGCACCCCAAGGCACGCCTGCAATACAATGAACGTTTTATTTCAACGTATAAAATATGTGTTAAAAAAACAACCAAAAAAAGAAATTTTAGCTAAAAAGCTCAGTTAGGAAATTGAGAGTTTCTTCTTCAGGAAAATTTAACCAATAGTGAAATTGGTAATTTCTCAGAGAAGTAATTTTTACAAAAACCATTCTGTTCATCCCAGTTTGCAATAGGTACATACACTTTGATAGGTGAACAACCTCTGCTTCTTTAGTAAATCAGCCAAACTATGTATCTTTTATATGAAAAGTTCTCCATTAAAGTCTATGTAAACGATTACCTTTCATATTTGCTCTATTTTTGTCTGTTAAATACTGTATACCAAGGGGCTGATGTATTTCTTCTCTCCAGTGTATAGCGGGTGAATGCCATTCTCACTACCATCACTAGATGGCGCCATGCAAATAACATTTGCCCAGCTATATGCTGGGCAGAAGATTTATGAATCAGCCCCCAAGTGTTTTCTTATATCTGCTATATCTTCTTATATCTGCTATTTAATTAAAAAAATACTCGTTGCCTCTTATGCACTCAATCAACTTCACCTCTGTAAACAACAGAACACCTACTGCCTATGTTATGGAGATGAGGAGAGGGAGAGGTGTTCTGTAGCCCCTAACACACTTCCTGTCCTAGAGTAACAACACTGCTCCTCAATAGATACAGTGTATTAAGTGAGTGTTGTCACCCTAAAGCTGGCCATACACCTATAGATTTGCAAAAGATTTTTTTTCTATCAGCCTATGGTCAGATAGAAAAACTGCAACAGATTCCTCCATCTACGCTAAACTGTGTGGATGGAGGAATCTCCCACTGGGCCAAGCTTCAGTATCTTGCTAGTTGGCCCCGCTGGCCCTCAAAATACCTGAACATTGAATGCCTGCATCCAATGACATTGTTCAGGTATTTTGAGAGCCAGCGGGGCCGACTAGCAAGCTTGGCCCAGGGGGAGATTTCTCCATCCACACAGTTTAGCGAAGATGGAGGAATCGGTTACACTTTTTCCATCTGACCATAGAAATGCTGCAGATATTCTATAGGTGTATGGCCAGCTTTAAACAGAAAATGTGTTGCTGCCAGGATCACTAGGTGAAAAAAAAAAAAAAGGAAAAGGGCTTGAGAAATAAAACTAATGCAGCCACCACATGGAAGGACTGGCAATCTTCAGTATATTACATTTGTGTTCTTGGGTTTAGATACACTTTATATATCTCAAGTATTTTCCTTCTAGATAAGATTTCCCTCTTTGGCCAAAGTTTGATACTCACCATCATGTGGGGAAGCAGACAAGTCTGGTACATTTGCTGTTTCCTGTGACAAAACAAAGACAAAATAAGGAACTTATCTCATTTATATTTTAGTTACAGGTTACCACAGGTAAGATGTTGCTGAGTTTCTAGTACATGTACCAATATGTCATCTTCCTCGTCCTCGTAGCCATCTCGTTACAGAACAGAGGTGAGAACTTCTATTTTCAGGAATGGATCTGCTGGAGTTCAGATTGGATAAGCTCAGATAATAGGCCAGCCCAGATTTCCATGTGATTGGCTATTGACACCAACTACCCTGAGGGATTCAAAGGAGA